CAATTCATGACCATGTGTAGTTATGGAACCACATTTATTCTGATAAAGAAAATGAAATTTCATTTGATAAGATTACCTAGTGATTTTTCTTGGTCTATCCAAGCCTTTCCATTCTCGTTAATACACTCAACCAAATACCAATTGCACTTAGTTTAATGGTACAAGCTTAGTTGGGATGGGCAGTGCAATCGCATTGCTGTTTATGATTTGTCATTAATAATGATAAACAAAAATAACACCAACCTGGGTAACGTTCATCCTTCAAGAATCATAACCAAAAAGAAAATGATTCTGTTGCATTTCACACACATCTGCATATAATAGAGACAGCACTTCACATTGTCCTACATTCTGATGGATTTCTCAATGGAGGTGTGAAAATCAGGTTTTCCGATGGCCAGACAGTCGTTATTCCAGCATAGATGAGAGTTGTGCAAGGGAATCCCCATAGAAAGAAACATAAAAACAAGCAGGAGTAGGCCACTCAGCCTTTTGAGCCTCTCCACCATTTGATCATTGTTGATACTCTTATCCCAAAGCCATATTCCTGCTTTTACTCCGCATACTCCGCATGCCTTTACTATCTAAAAGTCTCTCTCTTTCTTGAACATATTTATATATCCATATCTCAGTCCTAAATTGCCTACTCTGTATCCTGAGACTGTGGACCCAAGTTCTACACTCCCCAGCCAAGAAAAAATATCTTCCCTACATCTTGCCTGAGCAGCCCTGTTAGAAGTTTGTACAATTCAACTGGTGAATATAAGTCCAGCTGAACTAATGTATCTCACAGGACAGTCCTGCCACCTCTGGCATCAGCCCAGTGAACCTCTGCTGTAATCCGTCTGTGAAACGTACATCCTCTCTTCAGTAGAAAGATCAAAACTGCACAATACTGCAAACGTGGTCTTAAAAAAACCCACTGCAGCAGCTGCCAAAGGGTTAGCCCAGGACGTTAAAGATTCTGGTCGGTAATTCCTTTATACCTAGAAGCCTCAGAAAGTCTCCATTTAAGCTAGCGGATTCTGACAGTTCTGATGAAATAAATAAAGAATTATTCAGGATACATCAGACTATCTAAAACATACTCTAATTCCTCACTAACTATTTATGTTTATACAACTGACCCTAAACTTATCTCACACCACTCCTACTATGCCTTCCTGAACCCCCATTTCCCTGCCTTCAGACACAAGCCCTTATTCCCTTGTTCCACACCTGACACCCATTCATCCCCCAAAACTCGACACACCCCCTTTTGCCATTTCACACCCAACTCTCTTCACTGCCGGCCCGGCCCCCAGAAATTGACTCCCCTCCCCCTGCTCTAGACCAAGTAAGATTGAAACCCCTTAACACGCCCCCCTGCCAGGACACACTTTCCCCTTGCCTCTACTCTAGACTGAGTGGGACAGAATCCCCTTCAGCTCTTCACGCAACCCCCCCCCAACCCAAGACACATTACCCCTTTCCTTCAGCTCCAGATTCTGTGGGACTGTATCCCCTTCAACCCCACACCCACCTCCCCACAGAACACACTTGGCCTTTTCCACACACTGCACCAAACCAATCTTCCCCTGCCGCCAAACCCAACCCTCCTCTGAACCCAATCCCTCTCAGATCTGGCAGCACCCTGCCAGATCCGATTTCTCCCACAACCCGTGTCAAATCACCTTAAAACACTGCATCACTTTCGTGGCCCTCTCAACATCTGGCAATCTGTCCACTTGGCACCCTATCCCTGATACTTTACCCAACTGGTACCATTCTTATCTGGTACCCAGTCCCTACACATTTGACATCCTATTCTCAGCACCTACCTCTGGCACCGAACCCACCCAGCATCCTAACATCACACTTGTCTTGTTTATTTATTTTGACAGCAGCTGTCAAAGTGGCTGCCTGCGATTCTGAATTATTAAATGCAGAATACAGCAACTGAGTTAAAATGGGGGCAATGTTTGCCTTCCTATGACATTTCTACGCTATAAAGAAACTGTCAGCATGGAAGTACGACTCCAGATTGCTAAAGAAGCCCCGTGTGGGATTGCACCTCAGAAATGCAGAGTTCCATCCTTTTGTAAGAGTGAGATTACCACTCCTCGCAAAATCCACAGAATCACAGAATGTTACAACCCAGGCTCCATTCGTCATACTTCCCCGTGCTGACTCTTGGGAATGAGTTATTTAATGAATTAGACTCCACTGTCCCTTGCCCATATCCCTGGGATTATTTCTCTTTCATATATTGTCCCAGTTTTCTTTTGAATGTTCTGCATCCACCATTTTCCAGGCAACGCATTCCAGATCACAACACACTGTGAAAAATAAATCAAATGTTTCCATACACTGGATCTGGACCATTCCCTAATCACTTTAAACTTCTGCCCTTTGTGCCACTGGGAACTGCTTTTGCCTCATTTACTCTAAGAATATTAACAATGGTGTTTTTCAACATCTCTGTGACATCTCCCCTTTGCTTTCTCTGATCTCAGGAGGACAAACAGAGTTTCTCTGCTTTCTAGCACCTCAGGTACCATTCTTGTAAATATCTTCTGCATTCTTTCCAAAGTCTTGACATTATTCCTGAAATATAGCATCCAGTGTTGAACACAATACTCCAATTGAGGCATGATGAAAGTATCTTAAAAGGGCTTAAATTTTCTTGAATCACTGCAGTGCACGTTATGCAGTTACTATCATAGTATTGTTAGGAAGGGAGTTCTAGATTTTGACACAGCAACAGTAAAAGAAATTTCCATGTCAGGGTGGCATGTGGCTTGGAAGGGGATTACAAGTGATCATGTTCCCATATATCTGCTGCCCTTATCCTTCTAGGTCAGCAGTTGCCAACATGCTGCTGAAAAGTAATTGGTATCTCACCATTGACCAATGCATTGCTGGTTTCCACCAAACCCAATCCCCAGGCTGATAATGGAGTGTTGTACCAACCACCATGGGCAATGACAAAAAAGGACAAGAAGAACAGATTCCCAGCCATGAAGATGCTGGGTGGGCAGAGGAGGGGTGGTACCATTGCTGAGAAAGACCACCAAGAGATTGCGGTCCAGAGACTGGGAGGCCTGGAAAATTGCCAAATATCTTGTGATATTTTTCATCAAATCAGAAGTAGCTCTCATTATGAATAAAGTTGACATGCCCCGTTGTAAGCAATGCAAATCATGGATTTTGAACATAGTGATTGAAGGAACTTTGGTGAGTTGTTGCATTACATCTTGTAGATGCTACACACTGTCGTCTCTGTGCATCAGTGGTGGAAGGACTGAATGTTTAAGGAAGTAGATGGGGTACCACTCAAATGGTTGTGTTAACCTGGACAATGTCAAGTATCTCAAGTGTTGTTGGAATTGCATTCATCCTGCTGACTTAGGGAGTCAAAAGATGAGAATCTATATAAAGACACATTAAAATAAAACTGGCTTTCTTAACCATGAATTGAGGAAAATACAATGTACTTTGTAAAGTCAACCAAAAAACAAACGACAGATAAGCAGAAGCAGTGACCTAAATCACTTTATGCTTTCTATGTAAAGAAGGTGCATTAACCCTTGAGGGCAAAAGTTCATACTAGAATTCGAAATAGTGAAGTTGATTCTTTGCAAGGAATCAAAAGGTTTTCTTTGAAATTAGAAACATAATAGTTGAAGGCTGATTCTTTGAAAGGGAATGGTTTCATTTCCACTTCTGCTTTCAAAGTCACCAAAATTTAGCATCACTGAAAATATCTCAGCATCAAGTTCTGCTTGAAACATCAGGACAACTGACAGGAGCGGCAGCACAGGCTCAGCCACTATATTAATGCCGACTGACATTCACACAAAGTCAATTAAGGTTCAGCAATTATGTGTAATTGTTCAGCTCTGTCACAAGGTTGGTACAGTAACCACTAAACATTGGAACCCTAATAATGTCAGAAACAAAAACAGAAATGGTTGAAAAAACTCAGCAGGTCTGGCAGTATCTGCAGAGAGAGAAAGCAGAGTTAATGTTTTGGGTCCAGTGACCGTTCTTCAGAACATCTAATGATATCACTTGCTTTATGTAAACAAAACACTGCACTTTAACAGCCAACCTGGAGAAAAAGGACATTTGGTCCATACACTCATTCTAAGAGTTCCTGTAGTAAAGGTCTACCTCCTTGTTTGACTTACTCTAAGTTGCTGAAGGGAGTACACTCCAAAACATTGTTTTGCCTCTACAGATGATCTCTGACCAGCTGTGTGCCGGCAAATAGTGGAGTTTGTTTCAGTTGTCCAGAGTGTATGATATGTTTTTGGGTGGATTTGGTTCTTATTCTTCATTAGTCATTAGGGAAAATATGTACTTTAGCAGATGGCTAACACAAATGATGTTACTTAAATTTGGCACCACACACACACCGTCAACTAATAATGCTACCAGACAACTTATAGTAACAGACAAAAAGGAGGTTTAAGCAGGTGTGAACGGTTCCTTAAGGTTTTTATCTATAATTGTTTTGACATATCAGTTTTAAAAATTTAAACGATACCTGGTTTTCTGATTACTTGCGCTAAAAATATGAAATTTGCATCACTTCTTATGAAGGTTCGCAATTGTGAAATATACACGCAGACACTTCCTGAACGCTTATCATGTCTAAGTTTTCTACAAAAGCAATGCAAGTTGATAAACATTCTGGAAGGAAGACAAAAATACACAATGAAGCAGTCGTTTTTAATCCAGTCGAACAGAAACCGAATGCCAGAGGAAATCGATTTGACAATTGATACTTAACAAATTTGAGTAAGGAAGTGACAAAGTTCGTTGAGCACAACACACGTATGCAAGTATTAACATGACTATTTTCCAACAGGAATGCACATACAAAGTATCTCAAAATGCGTGCATTTTTAAAATATTGCGGAGTTTGCTGGAAGTTTTGCGAAATTGCACGTCTGGCACAGTCTGATCTGCACTCTACATACGTTTGTTCCACACCTTAATGATAATAAACTTACCTGAAACAGGACTGTGCTTAAAGCCCGTGCGATCTGCCTGTGTGCCCCCCAACTTCTACGCAACTCGCTTCAAATGCTTTTGAAACAGCACACAAATTATTTTGTTTCCACTTACAGGAATAAACTTCGGCACTTGGTTGAGGTTGCCAGCTATTATTCGTTGAATGCAAAGACAGTGTCTAGCCTGCTGATTTCAGCTCTTCTAATCACACCGCCCACCAGCGGTAACCACGCGAAGCAACGACAAGCAGGAAGTAGCAAACATTTGGAGGACCATCCCACGTCCTCTTGGCTATAACTTCAGATGGCGCTACTTTGTAAGAACACAGCACCAATTCGTTGCATCTAACAGGATTGCAGCTTTGCTCTATTCACGTACTGTTGGGACATTCACCACCGGGGGCTTTTGAGGTGTGGTGGTAGTGTCCCTACCTTTGAGCCAGGCAGTTTGCGTTCAAACCTCACCTACTCCAGAGGTGTGTTAAAACATCTGGATGGCCGATTAAAAGGAAAAAAAAATCACCGATTAGAGATAATGGTGAACAGTGACAGCAAGATTAAATGCGTGCCACTGTCGTACTGAGTCTAAAATCAGAACACATAGATTATGAGTTCAAAATTGTTTTTTTTTTAAGCGTGTTTAATGCATACAGTGAATAATTTGCAGAATGAGCTTCCCTACGGGAAGCTTACAATTGCCATGTCATATGCAGTGTATTCATGTTAAAAGGTTAACGGGAGACTTTTTTTTTCCATTTCCGTTTGTAAGTGAATGATCTCTGTCCAGGCCACCTTCACTCCACTGCTGTGCCCTGCTGAGATTCACTGAAGTACTAGATAAAGTAACACAAATTGGGGAGGTAACAAGGGGCAGAGCTGGATGCACACAGCAGGCCAAGCAGCATCAGAAGAGCAGGAAAGCTGACATTTAAGGTCCGGACCCTTCTTCACAGGGTGTTCATCCAGCTCAGATTCTCCAGCATCGGCAGTTCCCACTATTTCCTCATTCACAAATTGGGGAGGGATAGCCTCGTGCAATCATCGCTAGACTGCTGAACCAGAGACTCAGGAAATATTCTGGGACCATGGATTCAATAGCAGATCTGCAACATTGAGTCTAATGATGATCATTATTGATTGTCAAGGGAAAACCCCATCTGGTTCACTAATGCCCTTACCTGGTCTGCTGTATCTCCAGACACACAACATTGTGATTGACTCTTAACTGATCTCTGAGCAATTAGGGATGGGCAATAAATGCTCACCTAGCCAGCAATGCCCACATCCTGTGAATGAATGAAAAAAAGTTTTCGCAGAATTTGGCTGAAAAATGAAACTAGAATTGTACGGCTGCTGACCCCTTTCCAGTTTTGTGTGAATCACAACTATCTAGGACACCAGGAAATTTCAAGGAAGAAGTTATCTTTGCAGTTATGAAACAAATTTGACTTTTAATATCATAACGAATTTAGGGAAGTAAATTCATACTGTTGCCATCAATATTTTCAAATAGGATGTCAGTACTCGTCAGATTTTTGAGGATTAGGTCATCATAATAATCTCATAATACAAAGTATGTGCAGATGTTGGGTGAATCTTGTACTAATTTCCCAGAGATAAACTAGAATTGAGGGTCAGGATTAACAGTGCACTGTATTATGACAGAAGTTCTGTTAAGCAGTATTTTAGTAGCAGCAACTAGATGTTACACTGCATCCAGTTGTGGTCTAGAAACTAAACTATGTAAATGTGTTTTCACTTCCAGTAATGAGAGCCTCTTTACCACACACCTTACCAGGGCTGGAATGTAAATTTTTACTGTGGGTTTGTTTATTTTTTCTGCAGTGTTTTTGACTTACTTTTGAAACACCCTCGGGTTGTATAGACAGCAACTTGGAACCATGTCCATGGTTAACTGAGGTGCCACAGGGCCCTCATGTCCATTTAATTAGAGACTCTAATCTGATGAACAGATCAATTCACCACATGTGGCCAACAGTGATCATATTGAACAATACAACTATATTTGTGTTTGCATTCACTTGCTTCCATGTAAAATCTAGTTGAATCATCCACTGAATGGAGCAGTAGCTGTTGGAAGTTGTAACTGTGTCAGTTAGTTTATTTATGAAGATGTTCTGGTTAATATGCTGTTTTTTTCTATTATTATGACCAGTGAGCAGAGGTGATGAGTTCCTCTCTTTTAATCCCCCATCCTGGCTGGTAGCAAAAAATAGTTTGATTTCTTTTCAGCATATAATTTTTGCATGTCAACAAAAACTTAGTTAATGACATAAAAATGACGGAGCCAATTAATGACAAGGTTTTCTTGAGTTAAAAAGAGGGTTGTGTTATTGACTACCCCAACAGTAAATAACAAAAACACAAAAAAAACATGCACACAAAAGCAGGTAACAAGTTTAAAGAGAAAGGAGAGGGTGTCTTTACAGACAAGAAGGTAAAGGCAATTGCAGTTTAAAGATTTTTTTGAATCTTTCAATTGTGAGAGTGAAATTTGAGTGCCCAGTTTTACTTATTGACTGTTTCATCAATAGTGACCAAGCTTGCAGGTAACCTCGACTTCAAAGTGAAGGGTATTTTATTTTAAAGTTGCGTTTCTGAGATTAAGAGAAAGGGGAAGAGAAGACCTTTCCGTAACAAAAACAGAAATTGCTGGAGAAACTCAGCAGATGTGGCAGCATCTGTGGAGAGAATGTGCAATGAATGTTTCTGGTCTAGTGACCCTTTAGGTCAGACCACCTGAGTCTCTCCAGCAATTTCTGTTTTTGTTTCATATTTTCAGCATCACAGTTTTTTTTTATTTTAAGAGCTTTCAGCATCCTTTATGTATTATGTCTATGTTGTTTTCCTCAATCCTTTCTTGTCAAAAACTGCTGTTGATATACCATTTCTTTGGGGATTCTGGTGTCTGTGTCATTGATTCATTTCAAGCTGGATAGTTGTTGGCAACCTTTCGTTCCCCCAACAGGTGAATATATAATACAAGTGTGAATAAAACAAGAGATGTGGATCTCCGGGAGATTTAATGACCCTTGAATAAATTCGTAATTCTGATGCAACCAGTTTCATATACCCCATGTGGTTTGTCTAAGCTTGTCAGGTGATCGCAGCAGCAATCTTAGGTCCGCAATATTCTTTGTCAAGATATTTTTGGTCCAGAAAGTCTCAGCTATTAAAGTCAAGTGATGCTTGTTGAATATTAGTGGACCACTTTAACTACTACTGTAACGTTATGGAAAAGTTCTGAATTATGGTAATGTTTGATTTTGTTGTTTTCTGCTTTCAGGGAATGAAAGGGTTAAAAATAACCACTTCCCACAGAACACTTCTGCTCGCCGTTTTGGATCCAAATACAGACCTTAGATTACATAAAAGGATGCAAAATGGCGTTTGTTTCATGCAGTGTGCTTTAACGGCTACTCAATCAAGCAATTTACAATAGAAGTCACACAACTATGACAAGTCACAAAGATACAAAGTACAAATGGATTTCTTCAAACATCCCCTTTTCATTTAAAAAACACAATTTTTGTGTACTATCTTTGCAATTACAATGTATCCAAGTTACTAATGATATATGGTCAACAAGGAAAATTATCATTCATGTACACAATCACCCAAATTGAAGTCAGTCTCAATTTTGTCCATCTCTTCACATAAATTTCATCCATAATCAGCAAAGTATTATTCATGTCTTTTAATTGCATGCATGCATGTTGTTCTTGTCAATTTGACTAGAACCGGCTCATTCCTGGTGTGATGTTCCTTCTTTGGGGCTGTCGTTCCCTGCTGAATGTTTTGTTTGAGCAAGATATTTGTCTTTCCGTCTCAGTGTTCCTGCTGGGTTGAAGACTTCCACAGCGTGTCAAGCTGTTGTTGTTAGTCGTTTCATTTGAGTGAAAGCTGCCTCCTTTGTTCTGTGTCCCAGCACCACTACACATCCTTAGCAATGCATTTGCATGATCTGAGGACAAATTAGGCAAGATCCTTGCAAAGAGTTCCTGAAGCACTGTTTCTGTTCCATTGGGCCTGAACCCTGAGTTCTGTCCACAGATGCTGCCAGACCTGCTGAGTTTCTCCAGCAATTTATGTTTTTGTTTCTGTTGCCAAAGATATGCAAGTTGGGTGGATTGGCCACGGTATTTATAGGGAAAGGGTGGTGGTGGTTGGCCTGGGTGGGATGCTGCTCAGAAGGTCAGTGCAGGCTCGAATAGGGATTCTTTGACTCTAACTACAGCAGAGGCCACAAATAAATTTTTCAAACATTGCCACTGAGCCTTAGAAGGCCACCAGGTCTTACATAGAGAGAACTGTTCAGAATTGAATGTAACCAGACTTGAAGAAGTTATAAATGTAGGGACCTCAAGATTGTCAGAGCAGTGGAGGAGAAACCAGGGAAGACCAGAGAGAACTGAAGAAAATATCATCTTGTGGTTACAGAGTTTCAAAGAGCAAGGATCAAAATTAGCTGTCTATTATCCCCCATTGTTAAACGTCTTTATTTCTGTCAATGTTTCCCACTGAAAATCGTTGTCTGTTTCCTTTTTGCCTTGTCCCAGGAACTCAGTTAAGATCAGGAAACCTTACAGGCACGGACCTTGTCTCTTACTCAGATTTATTACTCTAGACTTATGAGTACGTGATGTTGATTGATACTTCAGTAGCAACACTGATAGGGTTCTGTCTTGTTGGAAATGTTGTCTCAGGTCAGAATTAAGCTGTAGTATAGATGGGAAGCGTTCCATAACACGACCAAAGGGAGATCAATGCATGTGCAATCATTAACATTTGTGTATTGTAGAATCCGTACAGTGGAGGAGGAGGCCATTCAGCCCGTTGAGTTTACATTGACCCTGTGAAAATTATCCCACCCAGGCCCCATAACCGACATTTAGCATGGTCAATCCACCTAACCTGCGTATCTTTGCACTGTGGAAGGAAACCAGAGCACCCAGAAGAAACCCACTCACACATGGGGAGAATGTGCAAAGTTACCCGAAGGTGGAATTGAACCCAGGTTCCTGCTGCTGTGAGTTAGCAGTGCTAACCACCGAGCCACTGTGATGTCCTTTGAATGACATGGTGGCACAGTGGTTGATGACAAGCGCCTCCAAAAATCTGTGGATTCAAAAAAAAATCTCATCGCCATTTGT